AAAAAATTAACCACATTTTTAAATGAGAAAATAAATTATTCTTTTACTGCAATTAGTCCACTAAAACTTAAACCCACTAAAATTAAGGGGCAATTGCAAAATGCCATCTTTGTGTGTATATTTGAAAGAATGCCACTTAGGAGTGTCAATTTGCGAAAATACCTCTAATTATGGATTTTTAAAGCCTAAATCTTAAAATTATAAACCCTAAAAAATGTTTTGACCCCTAAAACCCCTTAAAACCTGAAAACTAAACTCTAATACAACATACTTAACCCAAACATAAACGATATAATGATTATTTTTTTGAAAAAGTGACATTTTTGCAAATTTTTTGAAAATGTGGCATGTTTGAAAAGTGGTATTTTTAAAATTTTCTCTAAAATTAATCTCACAAAAATACTTGAATTATCATATTTTCGTTTTTCATTCTAAAATTATATATAAATTTTCGTTTTTCATTTAAAAATAGTTTAGAAATTTATTATTGTAATAATAAAATTCTATAACATTTTTAATAAAATATATATATATATTATTTTTGAAATTAATAATAAAGACTAACCAAAAAAAAAATTTGCCGCAATTGCAAAAATATTACTTTTGGTGTGTACATTTGCAAGAATGCCAATTAGGGGTATTCATTTGCAAAAATACCACTAATTATAGATTTTTAAACCCTAAATATTAAAATTGTAAACCCTAAAAAATGTTTTGACCCATAAAATCATCAAAACTAAACTCTAATACAACATAGTTAACCCAAACATAAATGATATAATAAATTTTTTTTTTTGAAATAGTGGCATTTTTGCAAAGATTTTGAAAATGTGACATTTTTGAAAAGTGGTATTTTTTGAAATTTCTCAAAAAATTTTGATATGTTTTATGAAAAAAAACTTCCCAAAATTATAACAACAAATATAATTACCCTTTAGATTTTTTTTTTCACACAAGACAATTTGAAAGTAACAAAAAAAATTTTTAATTTGAAAGTAACAAAAAACATTTTTAATCCGTGTTTCATATAGAAAATTTATGTTTATATATTTTAATATTTTAAAATATTAAATAATTTATTTATATTCTAAATTCTACTTAAGATATCCGGACAAGCTAAATTTAACATAATTTATACTTATGATACGATTCAAATAAATATGAGTTGTACATATTTATTTAATAAATAAGTACTCTTTAAACTATTGGTCTAGATCATTTCTATTTCTATAGTAAACTTCATCTTTTATATATAAAGTTATAAGAAAATAACAAAATATCAATATCAATATCTTTACAATTTAAGTAAACTTAAAAAAATCAAATCTAAGTGTCCAAATTCACAATTGAATCTAACAAAAAAACAATATTATCCATAGTAATTAATATTTTTGTTTTAGATATTGTTATTCAAAAATAAAATAATGCACACGCGTTTAACCAAATGGATATTGAACACAATTGATCACAATATGTCGTGTTTTATTTTGTCAATTTTTCAAGCTTTAAAGGAATTTACACATAGTAGTAGTATTTTGGTGTAATGTGTTAACGACAAAGTCGACACTCCAATGTCAATAGAAATGGAGAAACTTTTAAAAACGATAAAATTTTACTTGGTTATTACGATATAAAATTGGATCCAATGACCAATTCAATTGTTTTTTGTTAATTAAATTGTAAATGAAGTTATTGTCAGTGTTATTAATGAAAATAAAATTAGTTTTAACAAACGGAAAAGAATAAAAGATATTATTTCATATAAAAAAAATTGAACTTAAATTAAAATTGAACATCATTAATAATTTTCAACTAAATAATACTTTTTAATCTATTTGATTTTTAAAAAATATTTAGCCGCGTATAACGCGGGGAAACACCTAATTATTATTATTATTGAGGGAAGATGCTCTCTTTCGTTCAACATCATTAGTTTAATAGTATTAATTAAGAGTACCAAATCTAAAAGAATTGCTCGGTAAAAAAACAAAAGCAAAGGAAATGTTGTGAGACCGCATAGGATCATGTTGAATCAAATAAAAAATTAAATCAACAACATAAAGTTATATAATTTGTAAGAAAATTAATTAAATGTCTATGTCCCGGTCAATAAGTATAGAACTCAGCCAACTCCTCGACGGATCCTTCTTCACGATCATCAGCATCATCGTCGCCGTGATCGGAGCAACTGTTCTTGAGCATCCATAACAAGTGCTCGAACAATACGACTTCGCAAGCTACTAAGATTGTCTCTTGATCGTGACGTTCTTCAGTGAGTCTCGAGGATCGATCAAGTAGTTCTTGAAAAAGCGGGTGGTCGATGACGTGGGAACTTAGCATGTAAGGTCTTCGAGACTTTCCGACGTAAACCATTTTGAGAACGTCGCACTTCGAGACCTCAGAGGCGGGACTTGATGCGGTGGTTGAGTGGTTGTTCTTGGTGAGGGAAGGCCATTTCTTTATGACCGACTTGAGCTTTGTTAGTATAGCCATTAATTAGTGTAAACTAAAGGTTTGATTTTGAACAATATTGGAGATTTCTTAAAATTAGGGCTTATAGGGGTACTTTTGTGTGATGAAAAAGTAACGTTTTTGGGACGTATGAACGAAGAATTAGGTTCGTTTGAATTT